ACCGGATTGAAACTGATTGGTATGGGCATGCCAAAGGACAGGCTAGCCAGCTTTGGATTGTTCTTGACTCCACTCCAAGTAAGTATTATACATCTTTTGAATCCCTGTTTTCTTAGTCGCCAATTAACTTGTCTACTACTTTACTCATCCTCATCCATATTTTAGATCATGCTCCCTTGGATGATAGGAAAGTGGACAGCTGGACCTAGGCCACTTAATATTTTTCTGCTGGCATATCCATACAGGTAATAGCAAAGATAAACTTAACTTCAAAAGCTGATGAAACATCTATCTCAGGTTATTTGTTGGAGGCATATTCGCTGCGCTTGTGTACTTTACGCCCTCGTTTAAGCTCGATACGGGTAAATTCAGTAACAGCGTTTATGTAGTGTGGATTATTGGATATGTCTTCCATCAGGTGGGTTCTTCATATGATTTGTTAACTATCGTTCGCTTCATATCCTTTTATGTTTGCTGTACCATGTCAATTATCTTCATTGTTAAAATGTGAATTTAAAATTTTGTGAGTTATCCAGTTGTGCGTGCACACCTCTGCGCCTTGGTCATTACTATAAACGCACTTCTATATTTTATTTGCAAAGTCTCCTTTTTGTATTTCATCTATACATGTATTCATATTTACTTGTTTTTTGTTATATTTAATTTATATGTCTTACCATATAAAGTTCAAAGTTCAATAATGCTTTTCTCAAAGTTTCATTCGACTTTTCTTCTTTTTCTTCTAAAATTATTGCTCAAAAATCTGTCTATATTCCATAAAAGCCGTACCTTGTGACTTCGTATTTCATTCAGATAGCGACGTATTGCATGTTTGTGTCAATGATGGCGTTCAACGCACAAGTTTCTGATCCACGGATTGGCGGCACATATATGACATTGTTAAACACTCTCAACAATCTTGGTGGAAACTGGCCTGTGACGTTAATCCTATCTGTGACAGATTGGTTCACTTGGAAAGAATGCGTCGTGAAGGGTACTAAACAGTGAGTTCTTTTAAATTTTGCTTTCTTTCCCTGCGTTTCTATCTTATGCAAACTACTTAGAACTCAACTAATTTTTTTATTTCCTCATAAATTCTGTAGATCATTATTTCAAATCCTTCATCTCAATTTATTCTTTATACAAACTCGACACCCTTTGATGATTTTGAGAACTGTCTTCCTAGAATTTCTTGAACATCGAAGCTGATGTATTCTTGTGCACGAGATTTGTGCATCTTGTTCCGTAACCCTTTGTCGAATTCTTTCATTTCGATTTTTCTGAGGTGAACAAATTCCCCTTAGAAGTGGATCCGTAGTAAATCTTTTGATTTGCACTTCAGTCTACTATAGTCTATAAGAAGATATCATCTGAGTCGTAAAATGGACGGCTTATGTACGATTTGCGAGGTCACTAGCTATTATTCAGAACATGAACTTGTAGCGTACCTCA